GGAGCGAGGGATGGAGGGAGTAATAGAAAGGATATTATTAGCCTTGCCCCCTGCACACATACTCACAAGCAAACACACACACACACACACACACACACATACACACACACACACACACACACACATACACACACACACACACACACACACACATAGACAAACACACGTACACATACAAACAAACGTACGCACACACACAATCATAGACTACAGACACAAAAATATTTGATCTCTGATTCAGTATATAAACCTCCGTTCCCTTTTTTTCTCACGAACTCATCTGAAATCTTCCACACGCGACAAGCAACGCAAAAACTGTTTAAAAATCTCCCATCGTCAACAGACAAACCTCGGCCCTGTTCACACGATTTTTTTCATCCGAATCTTTAACTCCGGGGCACACACAAAAAACAGCGGCAAAATAGCCAATTGGAGATGATATACGCACATTAAAATTTGTTACGACATCACTGATTGGATATTTCTTGCTGTCTGATAGATGATCTAATGCTATGATTGATTAAAGGAGACTGTCACGTCAATAGATAGCTTTTATAAGGAAAAGGGGAAGGGGTGGGGAGGGTGTGTGATGATATTCTCAAGACTTCCCCTCGCTCGAGTTGTAAGAAGATTTTTTTTTAACCTAATGTTTATTTACGAGCCGGTTTCTGCATTAGCCATAACACGAGGGGGAAATGATCATAGACCTTAGATATGTATTAGTTATGAAATCCTTCGTTTATTCGTCAGTACACGTGAGTAAACACTTATCCCCTCCCAGTTTAAGTTGTATATCCGACAACATAGACCACTGCTTTAAATTCTTTTCTTTATACCTACTATAAGTATGATCGGTCTCGATACTGGCTAGAGACGTATAAGTAAGATAAACACCATAGATCGCTACCTTAGAATAACAATGTTCCATCTGATATTTTTGGCCGTTTTGACTTACTAAGAAACTAATTGTTCTGTCTGTTTTATCGTAAGATAATTCGGGGTCGTTAACAAGAAATTTAAAGATTTGTATTCGGAAAAGCTCGATGTGATATGAATCCCAATTTTGATTAAGATTACCGTCAAGTCTCTCAATACTAGGAACTGAGCAGATAGAACTTTGTAATTCTATGGTAGAGAAATGTCGTTATTGATGCGTTGAGCACGGTCCTCAACTTTGAATTCGGAGGGTTTTGCTATTACACAAACGTAAACATGAGATTTTCTTTTCCTCCTATCCAAAAAAAAATAATTTTACTCTTGGCTACTGTGTGGGCGTCATAATATTTACTCACACTACTGAATAAACGACGTCGGAAATAAATTTCAATGTTTACTCGCTAATGCTGTCGAATAAACAATTCGATCGTAAAAGGGCA